CAGGTGCTTCATTCTGGGCCATGTTTCTGAACTGCACTAAGGCGCTAGAATGAAGCTAATAGCAACTTAATGTTAGAATAAAAGGGTTCGGTTCTCAAAAAAAAAGAACTGTCTAAGCGAATACAGCATACTTTGTACTTGAAGTTAATTTAAGTTACTTGAGAGCACTTTGAGTTACTTCACAGTCCTTCTCTATACTTTTCTGTAATTTCAAAGTACTTTGCTCTACTTTAAGCTACTTTTGACGTAAATTTACCCTACTTTGTTGTACTTGAAGTCCGCCATTCTCCTCTTGAGAATTTTTCATTAGACGCAGTTCTTGAAAAACAAATATTCACTGCAAACGGTTCTCGAAAAAATAATTGGTTGATAGAACTAGGATCTGTCGCAAGTCTACTCATGAGATACACGATCAGATCATAAGAAAGTGGCTGTTGATGTTGATCATGTTCATTTCATCAACATTTTTATCAACTTGTGTTCAATTTTTTTTTAATTTAGTTCTTATTATTTTACATCTATATTCGAATGGCGACAACATCATGTTTATTAATGTTCTTATTGTCTTCTTTGCTTATAATGAATTCAACATCTATGTTAAGTTCACGTCGATGTCCATCTAACTGTACTATTCACAACATAAAGCGTAATTCACTGAACCGTATTTCTCAAGAATGTCCAGCTACTGATACGTTCGTTAAATGTTCGACAAGTCTCTGGCTCAATGTAAATGGTACTCTGAATGTAGCATTTGATGGTGATTCGTCGGAGCAAGCAATCAATGAGAGCTTAGACTCGGATGAACCCGCCCTATTTTTCTATCATCATACACAAGTCACATTCTATGCGAATGTTTCAGAGATACATGTCTATGTGCGAAAGTCATGTTTCGATCGAAATGATTGTTCTCGCGAGTTTGCAAATCAAATGGGTGATCAGTTACTTGGCTATCAATATACGATGCTCAGTCAACAGTTACGACCTCTCATTTATGATTCACAAGCTAGAAGCGAATTCGAATTTTCTACAAAAAATCTAACGTGTCTGATCGACAATAATGCCACAATTGGGCCTTGCAATACTAGCTGTTATTATATATTAGGATTTTCACAAGAACGATATAGATGCTGGCCAAGTACATTGGTAGGTCTTCATGTTTACACTGAAAAAGCTCTGCCAGCACCCATCAATACAATGATTTCATTTGACTACAGTTGCAACATACGTACGACGATCTGCAACGGACCAGATATAAATAATAATATTACAATGATCGTCAATGATTTCTTTCGGAATCCACCTTATATTATCTCAAGTGGAAGCTACGATACGTATCAATCTGTTGTCATTTTTCTTATAATTTGTCAATATCTTAATCCTTCTCAAATCTTATCATATCTTTCTACTTTTCAGCAAAATAAATGGTAATCCAACGTTCTCATAGAGCCTTATTACTGTTTTAACATGTTCTTTTCCATTTCAAGCTGATTCATGCAATAAATAAATACGAGATAATCATGTGTCAGTTTAGCAAATAAATAAAAAATGAGAAAAACAAACTTTATTTTCAATACTATAGACTATTGCTCAAGATTAAAGTCACACTTATCTTTTATTCTAGATAAATCATCATGATTTCACAATTTACAATTCATTTGTATCTGGTAATGATATTCAATTTCATTTGGACAGTGATCACACAAAACGGTAAGTGAAAAGTCTAAAAATGTATTGTAAAAGAAGATGAATCTTTCTAGAATCGACTTTTCACCATCGGTCAATATTAAATCGTTCAGTAGAGCCAGCTGTTGATACACCACTATTGAGAGTGAGTCACCTATATCCAGGAGCAAAAGTAATAGACTTTGGAGGAAATGCGATCGGATTAAATCCAGGTGAAGGTGAAGCATTTGACTTTCGAGAATATCCATACCGCATGAAACTGGGAGCAAAACAGACCAATGGTAATATGATGATTATGGAAGGTACTCTAATGCCAGGAGAAGGTAATAATCATTAAATAGATTGATTTATGCTACTCTTCATTTTATATAAAGGCACACAGTTACATCTACATCAATTCGAAGATGAAGCATTCTATGTACTTGAAGGCGAAATTCAGTTCTATATATATAACAAAACTTTAACAATGTCTCAAGGTTCTTGCATTTATTCACCGCGCGAGGTTCAGCATGCATGGCGCAATCCAAATAAAACGAACAGCAAATTGGCTCGTCTTCAATTCACTTTCGCGCCAGGTGGTATTGAAGGCTATTTCCAACAAGCTTCCAGAGTGGTCAGACATATGTATCCCTTCACTGAGTTCTTAGATAAAATTGCTCGAGAGTGGGGTGTCTTGAACTTTGGAGAGCCCAAAGGGGATGAAGACAATTGAACATGGGTATTATTTTCAGTATGCTGCTGTCATTTGAAGAACAATGGAGTTATTTATGAGAATAAATAAATGTGAAGTTCTTTGGTTTTTTTATTTCTCTCTCTTCATTCGAATAAATAATCATTCTACTAATATACTAACGAAAATAAAATGCATTCCGATAGGTTCTTGAACAACCAAGGAACATATCCTTATTTCAATTTGGCTTATTCTTTTGTCGAAATTTCGAAGAATCTCGTCAAGTTTCTTATGAGAATCCTATCTCAGTTACTTGTGATTTCCGCTTGCAGAATTTAAAATGTTACACACAATACTTTTCCAAACCTTCGTCAGTAGCTTGTTAGGAATTTTTTTTCTATGATAATCAGCATCCTATCAGAATTTTCTGTCGATTCTTTGCAGAAATTTGACAAGAAGAACAAATAGGGTGTCGTCATTCTATCATCAAATATATGTGAAGATCGAAACCAAACGTTGGCATTTAGATGCTGACAGGATTAATGGCTAGCAGAGATGGGCAAGTCAAAGGTTTTTAAGGTTCAAGTCAAAGCAAGTCAAGTCATTAATAGCCAAAAAAACTATTCAATTTATTCCAGTTAAGTCACAACGCTTTCCAAGTCTAGACAAGCTAAGTCAAGTAACGGTCGTTCTCAAATCAAGTCGAGTCAAGTCAAGATTTCAAAAGAAAAACCCTCAAGTCAAGTTAAGTCAAGTGAAGAACTTAGAAAACATTTCTTAAGTCAAAAAATGACTTAACTTGCCCATCTCTGATGGCTAGCCTTTGTAATGATCTAACTAAAATATAGGATCATTTAGAATTCTAAGCTGATCGATTATTTCAAGATTCTATTTGGATCTTATTGATAACTCGTTTTAGATAAGCGTTTAGAAACCATGCCAGACGATGCCAATCCTAACAAAGATTTTGATAAGAAAACTTAAGAAGTCAGTTAGGATGTTCCAAATCTACCATCTACTCTATTCAGTCCTTACCATTTCTCAAGAAAGTTTTGATGAATTTTTCAAGATAATAATCCAAAAGATTCTACTAAATTTGATTCAGAACCTCTCTCAGGATTCTTCAATTTCTTGCTGACGTTTTTCTTTTAAATTGAAGATTTAAGATCATACCAAGATACAATCTTAATTCTACTTTAAATTCTGACTAGAATAATAAAAAAGACTCGATCGAGATTTCCTCAAAGTTTGGTTAACATCTGTTCTAGATCCTGATACGAAGTTCCAGTCGAAACCTATGGTTTAATCGAAGGCGAATTTTGATAACAATAACACTAGTTTGGTCAGAATGCGAAACCATTCAGTTCTAGAAAGCATTTTATCGACAACAAAAGTTTTGCCCGCATATAAATGAAATTTTTTTTTTTTATTTCAAGTAATAAAACTATAGTACAATATGTATATTGAGAGAGAAAAAAGAGACATTTAATATGCCCAAAGTTTCTTGTTAGTTGCTTGCTTCTTCTTTGAGTAAAGTAGAAATGTGTGAAATACACCCTTGGATGACTTTTTGTGAAATGAGATGGCATGCTTGATCGACGACGGCTTTCAACTCCGCTTGACTTTTTGGCTGTGCTGTTTTAACTGTTTCTTTGAGTAAGTGCCAAACATATTCAATTGCATTGAATTCAGGTGAATGTGCTGGCCAATCTAATAATTTAAGACCATTATCATCAAACCACTGACGAACTGATACCGTCCAATGTGATCTTAATTTATCTTGAGCGGCAGCATATCGACGACATTTATGAACATGTGGACCGAGATGAGAAGCTAACAACTGTTGATATATGGTTTGATTGATATAGCCCTCATATCTTGAGAATGTTTTTGCACTTCACCAAACCGCACCCCATAAGTTGACACAAGCACGAAAAGAAGATATTTCATGTGGGAGCGTTGGTTCCCCACGTTTTACCCAAACGATCTTACCTGTGCTACGCAGTTGCACTTGTGTCTCATCGATAAAAATCCATTTTTTGAGGTCACTATTTTGATGTTCTACTGCAAATAAATGATGTTTCTCGACTTGAATTTGTGTTGATCTGGCTTTGGTTCGTTGTGTTCGTGGAAAAAAATCCAAGATCTCGACGATATCGTTGTAATGTACGTTCACTGATTCGGATGTTGAACTTGTTATAGATAAAGCTTGAGAGTTGATTAGCAGTTGCAGTTGGATTTTTTGAAATGTACTTGTCGAGTGACCGTTGTTGTCCTTCAGTAAGAGATGTTGGTCGACCAGGTCTTTTTCCTTCATTTAATAATCCTGTTTCATTGAAGTGAGCGACAATACGACTAACTGTTCGACGATCACAATGAAGTTGACGTGCTATTGTACTAAATATCTTGTTTGACTTTTGTGTTTCTTTCACAGCAAATAAACATTTTTTACGTGTCAAATTTCGCATTATTTGATGGTTTTAGTATTTAATCAATCTAAAATAAAAAATTTGAAGAAATGGAAAAGCTAAATATGAATAACGAAGCGTCTGGGAACACCATATGTATTTATAATATTATCCTTTTTCATAGTCTTATAAAACGTAAAATAAACAATTTTGTCAGCGGGCAAATTTTTTGTCGTTGATAGATTAGTCAGAAACCTGTTAGGAATTTTTCCGAGAAAAGTATTTTCGAAAATTTACAAGATAATACAAATCATAACCTAGATCTTAATATCAAATGCTAGAATTTTGTTAGAATCTTTGCAGATTTATTTTTAAAAGCTTATTCAGAATTTGGTTTTCAGAATCTTATCAAGGTTTAGAACAGGTCTGTCCAGAACCCTGACAAAAACCTATGATAATATTCTGTCAAGGTCTCAGCTGATTTCCGTTTAGGATTAGTTTCAGATTTATAAATCGATAGATCACAATAGGATTTCAATGGTCATGTTGAGTAAAAGTCTCAACTATAGTAAATGGTATGGTTTCTCAAGATTTTTCCCTAGATTGAAAGGCTAGGGTCTAGAAACGGAAATTCACCTGTGTCTGCCTGTCTGTCTGTCTGTAACACTTGGTACAAATGACCATTTTTGTGGTACAAAGTACCATAGTGATGGTACAAGTGACCATTTTCGTGGTACAAAGTACCGTAGTTGTGGTACAGCTGACCATTTTCACAGTACAAAAGTACCGCTTTGGAGTACAGGAAACCATTTATTTGACACAATTGGCTATTTTCATTATACAGATGATCGTTTGTATGACTCAATTCAGTATTTTCACGGCACAATCAATCATTTCTATGGCACAGTTGACCATTCTTATGGCTCAAATGATCATATCTGTGTCACAATTGGCCATGTCCGTATTAGAAATGGCCATTACTTCGATATAAATCACCATGTTAGCCGTTATAATTAACTAAAGCATAAACTTTTTCATATACATTAGCATCTTTTAATATTTTTTGTGAACTATTTGAATACATGTATAGTATGTAATATAGACAATGTTACAAATATTAATAATTTCTACGAAACTCATCATTATACAGAATTCATTTTTATTTAAAAATATCAGGACATCTTTGTCATCATTCCGTCAGTCTAGGGCCAAGTGAATCGACATTCAATGTCGATGGACGTTACTTGTATAATTCTGTTGTTCATATGAGAAAAAGCTAAGAACTGAGAAATCTACTATGATTTGTGTCCTGGCCATGATTTTATGCTGGGTACAAACAAATACAGAATTTTTGAAAAAAGATAACAAAATTTTTATAGATGTTTTCCTTACTCTTAATGCAATTAATCTCAGATTTGGTCCACAAAAAATACTAATTATTGTATTTTATCCTCAAAGAGAATTTGATAAATTACGAAAATGAAGTGTTAATTTCAATTTGATTATTGTGATAGTTTTTCATTAAATAGCTAAGTTTAATATGCAGCATATTCTTCCGTACAAACCGTTCATAATGTCAATAGTGCATTAAAAACAACTTGGAAATATATTTTCCAAGTCGAATCGAGATTAACAAAAACAAATACTGAAAATTTGTCAATCAATGAAAATATTTGAAATGATGTTGCCTTGTTAGCAGTGTGTTCAGAAAAATTGTGCTTACATAAAACTCGAATAGAAGCTTGCACCTATATCAGAGTTAAAGATATCAAGTGTTGCACTTACACACTATAGCATGGTGAAATTCAGCCAAATGACCTGGTCCGTTTCAATGGTAGAGGTCTACAGATCAATATTCTATCTGTTCATTTTGTTTCCTGTTCTCTGCAGGAAAATGATGTAATAATCCTATTAAGAAGTCCAATAAGATCTTCAAGAAAGCCTAACAAAGTCTTGTACAATGTAGACAGAAATTTGATTGTCGATTGAGACCCATTTAAAAGATGACAGCATTCTAATATAAGAACAGTTGGAGAACTGCTTAGCGTGAGGATGTGGGTGTGTGCGAATGTAGATACTTTCTGTCTGTTCACGTGCCCACGTCCATTCACACCCACACCCTAAGCTTATCAAGAGACACGGTAAATCTCCAGTTGATTCATAATATATTTATCTGGCGAACATAGCACTAGTGTACAAAGCTAATATAGTTTGTAGTCTTATGAGATTCGATGTACATGGACACATGCTGAAGGAGAGAAAATTTCTAGAAACGCATACTGAAAAACAAGCTGTCAGAGCAGTCGCTACGGAATAAAAATAATAAAAAAGATGAAGTTACTCTAACTATTTTCGGAACTGAAGGAGAAAAGTAAATAATCCGTGCATACCGTGCTTCCAATGTGTGTCAAAACTACCCTGTAGAGTTTCTGAGCTTTTTGCAAGTCTGCTATGAAAGTATCATGAGTATACATGTTTGAATTCATGTTTGTACTGTAGGATCTGAGTTTCAGTCAAGTACGATGAAGTATTTGGGTTTTATTGCCAGAGGAATTTATCTAAAATGAGTTCAATCTAATATGTTCACGATAAATATTCATAACAGATTCTGCATAGAGAAGAGGTTAGACAGAATAACTTGGTTTACTTATGAAATATCTAAAGCATGAAATTTTAGCTTTTTCTCCCTTTTGCTAATTTTATAATGTAAATGAGAGACCGTGGCGATAGCGGAAATCAGTTTGTGAAAAAACCTACGACATCGTTGCAGACATATTGAAATCTCTGTTTTAGGTTAAAAGAATATCAGCATGTCTGTCGAGAACTTTCGAAGAGGCTAAGAGAGATTGTATCCATTTTTCGCCATGTACTTCAACTCTTACTGATAATCCTGTCTTAGAAAAACACTATAATTGTCAAAGAGAAACGAAGAGTAGTTTGTTTAGTGATGCAGAGGTACATATGATAAATCGAGAGGTTGATTTGGCCCGTAAAAAATGAGAAAAATCAACAATGAATCATACGGGGCGGCTGGTTGGTTCATTCCGATCTTATCTGTTTAGACCGATGCTGTTATCAATAGGGGAAAAACCGGACCGGTGGCAACACTGCCGTTAAGTGATGATGTCTCTGCATCACATTGTATGTTATAACAGACAGATTCTAGTTTTTGCCATCTTTCGCATCATTTTAAAAGCTTTTACTGATTTTTACATGAAAGGCATCCAAGTATTTCTGACTTTCATATCTTGTTACCGGTCTGTTTAATCCTGAATGAGTGTAGGTGTGAGAGTGGACGGGTATGAGTGGGTCGGTGTGGTTGTGTGGACCTGAACAAGTGTTTTGATGAGTTCATGTGAGTGTATGACTGATAAAGGGAAGTCTGCTCATACCCTGCTCATCCATCAATCCTTTTAAAAACTTGAGTAATAATGCTTGCTTCACTCGTTATCAATAACGGTATGATGAAAAACCTTGATTTTTTGCAGTTGAGTGGCGAATGAGTAAAGAAAATGTGGTGTCCATATTTTGGTGTTAGAAAAAATTGATCGCGTATCAGCTCTTGATTAATGCTATGCAAGTGTCTATTCCTTCGAGCTTCGAACGTAACTAACAATAAAGTGATTGTTTGTGAAATGAACTTTGATCAGACAAGAGACGCACAAAATTGTTTTTGAATGACGTTTTAATAACTCTATGAAGCCGCTTGATGTATTCCTATCATGCATTTTCAATCGCAAATACAATTCAGCAGTTTCTTTTTGGCATGTGCTTGAGCTGCGTAGAACCAATTGAAGTGATGTTGAATCGCCTTCAGTTGTATACAAACACTCTTAATGCGTTCTTTCGTCCGAGCTTTGATCGCAACCTAAGGCGCAACAAATTATTTCTGGAAAGTGCTCTGATTTCATAAGAGATGTATCGAACTCGCTTTGAATAGTGTTTTGACTCTTCAACAAAGCTTTTCATGTATGCTTTCTTTCGACTGAATTTCTATTATCCGATGCGCTTTTTTCATAGAGAAGGCCAATCGATTCGCATTTGAAACATGTTGGTTTAATACGAGGGCTCTTGAAAGGATTTTTTTCATAGAGTCTCGGTAGTACCTACGGCAAGAATGGTAGTTTTGGGAGGGTGTTTTAATTGAGCATGAGACTAAGCAAGCGGCTTTAGAATCACCCTTGGGTTCCCTTCCAAGGCTCCAATACTGTCCCCTCGACCGAGTTACGAATGCATCTGTGGTTCAATATTTCCTGAAAGAAGTTTAGGTTGCACAAGAGACTTTTCAAACCACCCTACAATAAGTCTTAGTTCCACACCAAGCCTCTTCATGTATTCCTTAATGATGTTTCAGTAGATTCTGTAGTCAAATGAGCTGCTATTAAAACATACCTGAATTATTTAAGATATGTATCGAACTTTAGTGCGATCGTGTTTGGATCCCATAGGATAGTAGGATAGCTCTTTAAACGCTCTTTCAGTGTGGTTTACATTGCAGTTGGGACCAAGTGACTCCATTTTTTTTACATATATTTTTCTTAAATGTACAGAGTGGCAGAACTGTCATAAAGGTACATCTCGGTTCCATACATGGGCTCAACATCGTGCTTTCGTCCAGGGTTTTTCCAGCACGTGAACCAAAAAGGATCACATTTTGATATGTGCTTTCCACGCAGAACCGATCTATCAAGCTGTCCTTGTAGTACGTTTCGTTTCATATGAAACCCGTCGAACTATCATTTCAGCTAAGATTTTATTGATTATGTTGCCATTTTTTTTACTTTACAGAGGACGCATCACTTTACCGCAGATTGTTTGAGTGGCGTTTTGATGCCATAAGATGGCTCTTAGATTGTCTTTGTAGCCGAGTAGATATTCGCTTATTAGCAAAAGGGTTTTTGAAAACTGTGTTTGATTTGTAGAGGAATTCTATCGAACTGCCTTTGAATAAATTTTATTAGATTTAATGGCTCTTATTGGTCTTTCAACTTAGCTATTTTTTTGTGCGCTTTAGTTAGAGGGTTTCTTTTTTTTAATTGTACTGTAAAAAATAGTTGTAG